TGACTAATTGCAACAAAGCTCATCACCTCACCCACAAATAAGCTCAAACATACGCACTATTAAAACGTGTGCAAGAGCCTCATCTGTGTGCCAAGTATATGTAAACATGAACACGGACAAAAAGTGACACTCACTGCTACAATGGTGAAATCGAATCGCATGTAAATTATCACGGCTGTGAACAATGCCAGGAAGAATGCACTGGCAAGCAATGGCTCTCGAATCATCTGTGTATAGTCGAACTCGTAGAAAAGCTGAAAGCGATGCTTTTAACTCCGAGGAAAAAATGAATTAAACAGTTACACCCAACAACAACGCCAAATGGTGGAAAAAATACCGTGAATGATTGGATGTGCTCTGGTACAAGGTTTTCTTTCTGCAACACGACCACAATCCGGCCAGTAGTATCAAGATAGGTCGCGCGAGTTTCATCCGGACGACGATCCATCGTGTACGGGGTTGTAAGCTTTATCTTTCTAAATAATATGGAACATGACTCCAACGACTGAATGAGATTAGAAAACAAGTAAAAGAAAGCCAACACACAAAGAGCTCAAATTCTGCATTAGATATTATGATAAGAGTTGTACCTAAAAACAAAAGGAAATTTAGAATGTACCTGACTAGCTCTGGGAGAATTACTTTTGTCGTGAGCTTCTCAACAACGACATTATCGAACACGTGGTCAAGAACACGCATCTTCAGTGCATAGTCATTTCCTTTGTTGTAAAGATATTCAAAGGATGGAACGTTGTAACCAATAACATATGAAGTGCGCCATCCTCCATATAATGGGAACCTTCATTCATTCATTCATTTTCAACGTCAGGAAACGTTGCAGTAAAGGCTGATCACCATAACGTACCTGGGCTTTATCTCGACTTCTACGGAATCTGCGCGAAGTCGTACGGAAGACGTTGAAATATTTCCAATTTCATCACGGTAGTATATGTCTTTAGCAGAAGCTGGCAACACCGTCTAAAGGATGACTGACTTAAACACCACAACAACTTGCACTTACTGCTTTATGAATAAGCTTGCTATCACAAACCGTAAAGTGCAGAAGAGCAGGCTGACGACGTCCACGACGATCCATCTGATGATCAAGTCGCGAGAATGGACCCTGGAATCACCACCGTAATGAATCGTCTAAATATGCCTGAGTATAAATGTATGCATGGGTGAGCCCATTGGGCCCTAAATTCCTCCCTCCTCTTCTCAAATGGAGGGTGCCCCAACTCCTGAGGATTAAGAGCAATGTGGTTGGAACTTTGATGCAATAACAACGATCAAAAAAGATAGAGTTAAAAGCTGTCGAAAATAGGCACATTTACGAAAGGTCGAAAGCGAAATACGATAAGTATGTTCCAAGAAACTGAATTTTCGTAGAAAGTTAGGTTATCCACCAAAACTACGCTTGGTATGCCCGCGGGATGTGGACAGTCAAAGCAATTCAGGAGCAAGGAACGGGAAGTGTTGATTAACTAATACAAGTTTTTGCTTTTCGCTGCCATCAAAACATTTCAACAAGAACAGTCAGCTTACCTTCAATTCGGCTCCTTTATGCACCAACTCGATGTATTCCTCCACCGCTATGTTTCCCCAATGCGATACCTCTATTGAACGTTCGACAACTGTAGCCACAACGAAAGGAGAGTTGTTCTCATAGTGTATTTTTATGGGCTTCTGAAATTGTTTAGAACCTTATTGATTGGCCAAAACGGTGCGTTTTCATCGCGTGTTTAGTTGCAGTAAAACTGACGCTGTTGAATGCTGGCTGATTCTTGTATGGACCATAGATGACTCGCTCGTTTTCCTGACTGGTCGGTGTCACCTGGGTGACCGATAAAGTTTTTCCATTGCCAATTTTGACTGTAGTTTTCTCTTGGGCAACGGGATACGCAGCTGCATAATAAGCGTTGCCGTTATACACCACAAACCTGAAGAAGGCGTTGAAATGTACTTACTTTTTTTCAAAAAAAAANAAAAAAAAAGTTCACTTAAGGCAATAATTCTTGCAGCATGGGTATGATAATCGAAAGTCACACATCTCGCAACTACGGGATTTATTTCCTTCAAAAATTTACACGTCTTATCTTCCACCCAAATCATATAGTAAGGAAAAAAAGTGTGCCAAACCTTCGTAGGGAACCGCGAATTTTGCAGGAATTCCGGATGGGAAAATTACATTCGCAACTCATGATTTTGCTTGCGGGCACATACTTCCCCAAAAAGCGTCCAGAGAATACCCTCGTACTTTGAGGTCCTATGAAGCTGCATTCTGACTAGCAAAGGGTTTCTCCGAAGATTAGGGAAACTAAAGCATTAATATGAGGTCAATCGAAGTAACGTAACTTTTCGAAGGGCTTGCGAAGTATGAAATAGCGGCAAGCTAGCCAATTAATGAATTTGTGGGAGCCCCTCCTGGGAAGTGGTTATATCGTGATCTTCCATGATTAAAAAAAGTATCGCAAGCAAGCTCGTAGCGTTTAATTTTTTCATCACTGAGGAGCCTTTGTCGTAAAAATCAATCCACCAATACATAGTACATTCGTTTGTGTATACTAATAACCAAATAAAACGAAACGAAGCACAAAGGCAATAAAAATACTTACTGATTCTCTTTTTGGGTGATTTTCTCTGGGAGAGGGAAGAGAAGCCCAGTGAACCTTTGTTCAACCTTCAGCTTTACTTCACCACCTTTGGCAACACGATTCAAAAGTTCCACTTTGTAGATCTGAAAACCATGTGGTTTAACTAAATTCGAAAACATTACGACCAGATAGAAATGTGATGAGACGCTTACCTTGTATCCTTGCTTTTCTCCAGGCTGTTTTGAGATTTTCAGCTTCCCCTTATTACTTCCTTCTTGAGCCGCAATGTAAGCCAAATGTTCACTCTCCTCGGAAGGGACCAGTATGTCAACAGAATTGGCTTCTGCTGAACCATCGTTTGAGAGCGTTAGTTGTGATGACACTTTGACAATCTAAAACATGGAAAATATTTGTAAACATTGTTTAGAATCTCAATGTAAGCTATCAATGAGAAAAAAAAATGCTGATGTTGTCAGCTATATTAAAATATGCTATGCCGAGGCTGATTCTACGGTAGAAACATCAGTGCTCAAGTCAATGAAATGAATGCATAACTCAAAATTCTTAACTAAAAAGGAGCTCATGAAAAATCAGCCCGCTCTTACCAAAAAAGCAAATAAATGCTTTGAAACACGATGCACGCATCGTATCCGACCTATTTCTACACAGCGAACTTCCTTGAAAAAAGGCTCACGAGCCCACCGAATTTCAACCGTTTCGGTGCAAAAATTAGACCGTTTCAGTGACCTTACTGATAATAAAAAGGAAACTGACCTGGGAGGAGATGTCAATAGTTCTATCGACGTTGACTACCTTCCAATCAGCAGCAGCTGCCAAACTCACGACAAGGAATAATAGAAGTACCCGCATCTACAAATAAATAGGAAAAGTCTAATGATTTGAAAAAACTGGAAACTGTTAGTAAAACGATTGAACCGAAAGCACTGAGTCGAAACAAAGAGCAGTCGATCATCAAAAAGATAAAAGGAAGGCCAAGCAAAGAACAAATTTATCAAGAGTAATTCAGATCTAACTTGACGAATCTAACTTTCTTTACAAATCGGTGTTATCGGTAAAAAGCAGTTCCGAAATACTCACATCAATACTCGCGAATCTGGGTACGACCTATTGAGTTTATCCCAATAATGGGCACTACGCCCATGGTTACTGAAGCAGAATATGAAAATAACTCTGATGTATCTTCATAAATTAGAACAATGTTCAGAAAAATGTAAATTTGAGCTAGGATTGCAACAACTCCCATCAATGACATTCACCATAAGTTACGATGGCCGAACTTCTCTAAACATTCGCGAATCACCTCCTGTGATATTCAAATTTAAAAGGGCTTCCAGTTAAAAAGACTGCTTCACGAAAGAAAAGTGGTCCTCGCAACTACTCTTAGATGTTTGTCCAACACATATGGTGTAGGAATAAAAACAAAAACAAGTGTTGGACGAAAAACAAGTGTTGGACGATGCGATCAGACCAGAACATTACGTGACTTCTTCAATCAACAATTAATCATATCACAAGAAATTGTCAAAACAAGCCTCAAAACTCTGAAAACCATATTTCACGAAACATGAATGTCTCGTTTTTGTGAAATGCACGATTAGAATGTTAGCAATTACCCTCATCATAGAGATATCAGTTAAAAAATGGCAACATTTAGGTAACCTAACCAACTGTTCGTTTGGAAAAGGCTTTCTCTCGCAGATCTATACTGAGTGAATGCAGAGTTTAGGTATCACGAACACTTATACAACATAAAGACACTTAGAGTCTGGGCAACCAGTATCCCTGGATTGCTGGACAAGGCTCCCCAAAATTTCGACAAAACCAAAAAATTCAAATGAGGAAGCTTGCAGTCAACAACATATTGCAGATCTGGGCGGATACCGTCAAATCTCTTTTCCATCCCCAGAAAATTGCTGTTAAAACCCTCTTTAATGGCTTGCTTTATTCGACATCACAAGAATTACCAGTAAAATCTGCATGAACAAAAAGGAACAGCAAGTAAGCATTTAGCGGACTATCGGAAGTAAAATCAAAAAACTGGGCCTTGCAGGAAGTTCGTCAATAAAATTTCAAAAGGAAAATGATAACACAAAGACCATGGCAACGTATGGGACCGGCGATAACTCGTCCACCAAGGCCACGTCACGCTTGAAACGAGGACGGCTTAACGGCATTATAAAAACACGATGTTAATACTGGTCGATGGACTTCCTGATAAATCAGACTAAATCAAGGCTACTTATAGAGGTGAATCTGGACTTCGGTCTAAATAAGAGCCGTAGCAATAGGGAAAATAAACATTAACAGTAAATAACATCAGCATTCCGCGAAAATTTCACCATGGAGAAAGATTATAGAAGAACACCCATATAGACTTACTCTTTTACATTTATATCGCCTAGAACGAAATTGTCGACTCTACCAAGAGCTAGCCGAAAACTTTAACATAAAAGATGGCCCATTCGAAAAGACAATGTCCATTCATCAACTGGTGAGTAAAAAGTAAGGTAGAGAGAATAACTTGCTCGGAGAACAAGAACCAAAGGTAGAACGTTGGGAGGCTAACTGGTAATGTACTGCTGAAAGCATCTAACAAAATAGGTGGTTTATCGGACGAGATCCAACGCGCTCTAATACACGTCGTTACAGTACCCTAGCCCGGATCTGTGCGGGACTGCTTTTAAATGAGGATGTGATGATTTTTGGAGAAGCTTTGAGTTTTGAACATATTTCCACCTTTTTATGCATCTAAAACCACTTAGAATGGCGTTTGGTTGGTATCTATCGTGAATTTATTTGTTTGTATGCATATTTTACTATCAAGAACATCCTCAGGGACATTTGGAGAGGCCTTTTACCAGTTGTAGGTCCTCAATTTTACCAAGTCGCGGCAGTATTTATACTTTACGCGTCTCGTTTGTCTTTTTTTGGATCTTTTCTTCCCAACTAAAATCATTATCCTCTCAGGTTCGACTGTTATGGGCAAACAGCGTAAAGGAGGTCTTCCATATCTGAAATCATCACTCAAAATCAACTGGAATTCAGGGCAAGGTGTACCAGTCGAGGAACAGAAGTCGTTGATATCGGATGTTTTGAGCTATTTGGAAGAAAAAGGAGACCAAGACGAGCAGTCTGAACCGCCAGATCGAAGCGTTCTGAACGTTGTCACCGCAAATGCTGGTTATGGGCTCCAAGCCTGCATAGACCTTTCAAAAACCGAGACGGCTCCTATTGTTTTCCTGGATTCTATCTGCCCTCGTCCTAGCGCTGTCTCGAATGCACTCGGCCTCTACTTCAGTAACTATGCTGACAGTGTGAAAGTATACTGCCTTCAAGGAATCGAAGAACTTCTATGGGATAAGCTCAATCGAAAAACAAATGCTTTTGTGGTCAAGCATTGTCCACAGCAGCTCAGAGAGCGGTTAGAAGAAGTGCTTACCCCAATGCATATTCAAACAGGGCGGCAGGGCTCTTCTCTTACTCCCATTTCCCTGGTGAAGTCAATGGGAAAGCCTGAAAAGGTGAAGAAGAAGAAGTGACTTACACTGCCTTGACGTTCTCGGTCAGTGCATTCTCCAAGAAACCTTTTGTCCTCTGCTTTGACATTCTTGACTTTGGAAGGTATCGGATTGTTTTCCCAGTGTTCTGATCCCTTCGTGGCATCACTTCCTGTGGGATGCTCAATGAAGTTATGCGCTATATCGTAAGTATAGACAAGTGTGATCTTTCGTTCACTCAGGCTAATGTATGGTTTCGTAGTTCAAGAGGTTCCTTCAATGACCTTCTGCCAGAGTGGGAGTCAAGATCCATTCAGTGAATGCGAGCTGATAGGGCAAACTGCAACATCAAGTTTATGTATAGGTAACTTTGGTCAATCAAAAATTTTCAATGAGTAAGTTTGTAACGAACGGGTTATCGTTATCAGATAGAAGTTAAGTTTTAGGATTAGTTGCTCTGAACGGGCATGATCTGTTGCGAATAAATCCAGGAATTTAGTTCGATCCTGCTTCTACTTTCATTTATCACTTTCTGTTCAGTCCAGGTGTCATTGAGGTTTTCATTGTGTATATAATAACTTTTGTTTGAACACCATTCATACCTTTGTGGAACCGTGTGTACTTGTTGAGACCTGTAGGATCTACTTTGACAGATTTTGCTTGTGCTTACATTTTTTGCCATTAGTATCTCATACTTTTGTATTATTATATTATGTATTCTATTCCGTTGATAACCAACGAGAGTGCTGTTGAGGCTGTGGAATCCGTGGGGCTGCGAGTGGTGCTCCAGTAGGTAAAAAGGAGAGGGCTATTTTCAAAAGCTCAGTCTAAATAGGTGCCAACTTTTAATCTCTGAACTAGACGGATTGAGCGTTCTTTTTGGGCAGGACATGTTGGAATTGGAATGGGACTGGTGAGTCACTATCACCATTAACCGCACCATGGGGTATCATCCATCGCTCCATCCGACCTAGCCCGTATAGCGCTTCTATTTTGTGTTCTGTTTGAATGTCTAAAGTTGTTTTCTGTTATCGTTATCGCTGTTTTCTTGGATGTGGTTGGAATAAAGTTATTCACTAATGTTCCAGTGACGGGAATGGTTGCTACAACACAAGAGAAGGAGAAGACAAAGGAAGAGAAGACGGCGAAGGACAAGGACGACAAGAAGAAGACTGGCAAAGATGATAAGAAAGATGAGATGGTAGTTATCAAGGATACTTTCGTACATCCTTTGGTTGTTGTTAAGTTCATGCATTTCAGAGTGAAGAGGATAAGAAACTGGAAGAAGATCTCAACATGTTGGTTCAACGTTTGAGTGTGAGTCTTCGTGGCTATTTTTGCCTCTCCACCTTTGAGCTGGTTCGATGCAACCCATTCCTTGTTCCCGTTGTTTTTGGCTTCATTTCCAAACGTCGGTGTGTGTCCACTGTATGCCGTGCTCATCGGTAACTCCTAACCGAGTTTGCGAGAGCGGCATGCTTTATCATGCTCCATTATCTTGATGAAGCTTGGTATCAGAGTTGTTGTCGTAAAAGTAAACAATGATATCACAAAGTTTTTGGTAGTATCCCTCTTTCCTACTGACTTACGCGTACGCCCCTTGGCCTGCATATCATTGAAATGCAGTCTGAGTGAATCTTGCGCTGTTTTATCGTTATCGTTATCGCTTCTTCTCAATGATGTTAGAGAGCTTGAAGTGGAAGCGAATCTTTTTAGGAAAATGATGCCAGTTTGTATCAACCGTCTTTGGAGACAATGCGGACTCTCATTCGAGCGTCCACCACCTCGATGACTTCTGTACCGAAACCTCTCAAATTCATGCGACCTCACTATGCCAAAATGAAGCAGATTTTCGAGAAAATGCAACCTGGGGAGACCAAGGTGAGACACCCTGTGAAGTTTATTTCTTTGCTTTCAATCTCGTTTCTTGTTTTCAGAAATTGTGTGCTGACATAATATCTGTATTAGCAATGTGTTCAGACGAAAAGAGTGATTGCATCAACTTCCGTATGAAGGTAATGGCTCGATTCATTTTTTCCGACAACTGTTCTTGCCCCTTGATGTCCATTTGTCTACACATTATTTCAGGGTATGCACGAGCCAATTGGTGATTGGGGGCACGAGTACGTTCGTCACCTTGCCATGGAAATGTCAGAAGAGTGGAAACAGGCATCCGATGGTTCTGAAAAGAGTAAAGCCAGGTGTGATGTTATAGAGTTCTTGCAATGCTAAGTATTTGAATGACCCGCTCTTTCTTGATTTTAGGCGTAATGAACTTCTTGTGTTAGCGCGAGATATTGTTATGCATAATATGAAGCATAATGCTGAGGTCGGCCTTTTATAGCTCCTTTTTCATAATTAAGAAAATTATCCACTGTTTCTTCCAGGTAGAAGCATGCGATTTACTGATTGAAATTGAGCGATTAGATCTCCTCATGGAATACGTGGTAGATGTAGACCATCAAAGGGTCTGTCTTTACTTGCTCAGGTATTGCCTTTCTCTTTGTGAGTGTTTTTCACTGCAAGTGTGTTACCAGTATTTGTGTTTTGTCTTGAAAGGTGATCCAATTGATTCTGTTTAGCTGTGCTCCATTAACGCCTGATCCGGACAATATTAACCTTATTAAAACGGCAAAGGATATTTACTTGAAATATAATCGCTACCTCGAAGCTGTACGATGTGCCATTATGTTGAACGATCCCGTTGAGATCAAAAACATCTTCACGAAGACCGATGATTTGTGAGTGGTTGTTCCTATCCGGCTTCATGGCACGTGCCCATCACAAAATCACCCTGCTTTTGGCTATCACCTCCTCTTCTTTTGTTTATTTATTTATTGTTTCTTTGTTTTTTTTTAACATGCTGTCGATGGCTGTTTAGGTTACTACAAAAACAAATGGCAATCCTACTTGGTCGTCATCAGATCTTCCTCGATTTTGAAAACATAGCCAATGGCGAACAACTTGGCGAATTGAATTCAAACGCTCACTTGTACGAGTATTTCCATTCACTTGCACGGGAACTGGACATCATGGAGCCTAAAACGCCCGAGGGCATCTACAAGAGCCATTTGGAACATAGCAGTGAATCTTGGCTTTTGTTTTCTTGATTGATTTGATTCTATTTGCAAAATCGTTTATTTTGGCAAGGGATTTTTGGCTGAAAGCTCTTTTACAATTTAAGGACCGTTTGGAAACACCGCAGCACCCGACTCAGCTCGAATGAATCTAGCTGCAGCGTTCGTAAACGGTTTTGTCAATTGTGGATTCGGCGTTGATAAAATGATGGCCGAAAGTGAAGATGCTAGCAAGTGGTTCTACAAAAATAAGGAATATGGTAAGCAAAATCTACTTTACACTTCCGGTTCCTGTTGCTAAATTGCGAAATTTTGCAGGTATGTTGTCTGCGGCCGCTTCTCAGGGCCTCGTTTGGCGCTGGGATATTGATTCTGGGCTTGGGCAGTGTGACAAATTCTTGTATGTGAACGACGACTTCATCAAGGTGAGTGGATAAGACTTGAAGGGTCTTCGTCTGAATGTTAGTAATCGAATTCAGGCCGGTACTTTGCTTGCAATAGGAATTATTTCATCTGGTATCCAAGACGCTTGCGATCCTGCCTCTGCCCTTTTGATTGACCACATTCATTCCGAGAGGTGACTATTGCTTATCAAAACTTCTGCGATTCTCGGTATGTTCTTTGCTTTGTCCCACAATCGTGCGCTTTTCAGAGCGGTTATACGTGTCGGATCCGTGCTAGGATTAGGATTAGCTTATGCCAACTCGAAACGTGAAACTGTGATCAAAAACGAAGAAGGCGGTGTAATATTCGAGCTCAAGAAGGTGAGCAGATCTTTTATCTTTGTCTTTTTATTTCAGAGGATGAACACCTTCTTTCTAGGTTCTCACGGATACTAAGCCATCGGCCACCAGTGAGGTGAAAGGCTTGACTGGTTTGGCTCTGGGTTTGATCATGGTTGGAACAGCAGATCATACCGTAGCGATGGAAATGCTTCAAACTCTAATGGAGCGGAATGAAACAGAACTCAGCGATCCGAACATGCGTTTCTTGGCTCTTGGAATTGCTTTAATATTCTTAGGTGAGGTCCTTGTGTGTTCAATGTTTCAATGTTTTCAAGCTTTTGTGGAATCCGTTCACTGCTTTTGCAGAGCTTACTTCAGGCTTGACTGATGTCCATTTCTTAGCTTTGATTTTCAAATTTGTGCATTTGAATGTTATTCATTCAAATAATCCTATTTTCAGGTACTCAGGAAAAAAGCGAGGTGTTCGTGGAATCCTTGAGGTCGCTACCAGAGCCATTTGGTCCTATGGTAAGTTTCCACCGTCCGTCAATTGTCATAGAATTTATTGAAATTCGACTATTCGAGGTCTCCACTCTGGTTGATGTATGCGCTTATGCTGGAACTGGTAACGTACTGAAAATACAGAAACTGTTACACATGTGCTCAGAGCATTACGAAACAGAAGACAAGAAGAAAAAGGTGAGTTAAAATAAAGAATGGCTCACTTTGGTTTCACATGCTGGTTTTTCACAACCAATTTTGATTCTGGAATGTAAAACTTCATTTTCCTCTCCATCATAGATATTTTAGAAAGATGATAAGTCAAAGAAGGAAGCGAAACCAGAGAAGGACAAAGATGCAAAGCCAGATTTGTCATCTCAACAAGCCGTCGCTGTCATCGGTATCGGTCTTATTGCGATGGGTGAAGATGTAGGATCTCAGGTGGGTGAAATGCCTTATTCACGTGACGATAATTATGAGGACATTTTGTTTTCTTTACAGATGGCATTGAGAATGTTTGGACATCTTATTCGATACGGTGAGCCTGTCATACGGCGGGCGGTCCCGTTGGCTCTAGCATTGATCTCAGTTTCAAATCCGCAATTGAATATACTGGAAACGTTGAGCAAGTTCTCGCACGATGCTGACTCTGATACGGCCCATAATGCCATCTTCGCGATGGGACTGGTAAGTGTTTTTATATTTTTATGCCGTATTAATTTAGTAATTGTTGGGAATTGCTCCAAATGGGATTAGTTTCTTGGAATGTACTGAAGAATTTTCCATACAGACATTCATAGTTATCGCTGTTTGTTGTTTTGTTTTTGCCATTAAAGCGTTTCGGGCGTATAAGTAATTGTGTATGGTTTGAGGTTGGCGCTGGTACGAATAATGCTCGTCTGGTTGCCATGCTACGATCATTGGCCAGTTATCATCACAAAGATCAAGTGAGCTGAGTTTGCATCGCTCTTGTACCTATTTGTTTGTTTTGAAAAGCTTATATTTCAGATTTCATTGATGTTAGTGCGTCTTTCGCAAGGCTTGACCCACTTGGGTAAAGGTACGATGACATTGAATCCATGGCATTCTGATCGGCAACTGCTCTGCCCAAGTGCAATCGCGGCCCTTCTGACTATTTGTTTCGCTTTCCTTGATGCCAACAACTCGGTTAGTTCTTTTTCCATTCCTGCTTTGTTCGAGGTGATTCATTCTCATCGAAATTTTATGTCTTTCCATTTAGTTATTTAGTTTTATTTGTAGGTGTTGAATAATCGGCAACATTATCTGCTCTACACTCTGGTGCTTGCAATGCAACCTCGAATGCTGGTTACGTTATGTGAAGACGACAAGAAACCGGGGCAGCTCAAACAGGTAGCTTTTCCGTTCAGATTATGACATTTGGGGGAAAGTAGAAAGGAAAAGCTCTACTACGACGCCTCAGACCACGATTTGTCGCGCTTCTTTTCAGCCTACCGGTGTGACTGTAACTTTCTAGTAGAAGTCTGAAGTCTGTCTACTGAGATTGCTTAATTAGTATGGAAATGAACAACACGATTAAATTGCGCACCTAAAGCTTGGACAAGTGTTCTATCAGAACCAGTTATTGTTGCAGGTCGGAGTAACGGTACGAGTGGGTCAAGCTGTCGATGTCGTAGCACAAGCGGGTAAACCAAAGACAATCACTGGCTTCCAAACTCATACGACGCCGGTTCTTCTGGCCTATGGCGAACGTGCTGAATTAGCCAATGAAGAGTGTAAGTTTTTATACTTTTAGTATTTGGAAGCCTTATCATTACGGATTTCGAATAAACTTTCCAAATTCCACTTTTCAGACATAGCAATGACGCCATATTTGGAAGGTTTGGTGATATTAAAGAAGAATCCTGACTATGACATGCCAGTAGCTGTGAAGAAGTAGGCACTACTCATAGATAGAGATTTGTCATTTTGTTTGACTCTGTGCATATAATTATGGAATTGTGATGTACTATTATCACGAACATTAATTCCTTCTACATATTACGGTAGTGCTGTATGCGGTTTATGTTCACCGAAAGCAGCAGTGATCAGCTCTTTAATAATTTATATTTATTGATCCAGATATCTCGTGACTAACTGTGTACTGCTCTCCCTTTCGCTGAAAATCTCCTCCACGGTGTTACAGTAGCGCACTGCGCTCCCTTGCTGATTCTCGATATATTTGCTGAGGTTTGATAAAACATTTTAAATAATATGATGGAATTTCGTACATACCGATGACGAATATTGCGCCTGATAAACAGGTACAGCCCAATTTTGTCTAAAATTGGTGGGTGTTGGGTGTAGCCATATCGAGGGGTCGCGCAGCTTCATTCAAGTGATTGTGGACATTAGTGTAGGGCGTTTAGCAAGGATGGAAAGGTTAGGACCTAGACTTGTCCTCTTGCATGTTTAAGTGGCGCACATGGCAGCCATGCTCTGTCTTCATACAGTGCTAGTATCAAGTACTTGCTCTAGTTTTTAGTCGATGTTGTTGTCAAGCGTCTGTCACAAAGGGCTTGTTTTCGATCATGAGTGGGTGAAGGGAGGGAGCGCAGTATGGGGGCTGATCAAAACAAATACGAAGCACAAAGCGGTACCGTATCATGCGGATCCCTAGATAGACTTATGGTACACTTTATGGTTATCATTGAGTGATTGACGGTACCAGCTGTTTGAACTAGAAGACACCAGACAAAATGGAATAATCGAGAAATCTTAATGATGTTGGTGCGCCCTTGGAGGTGTGGCACAGTGAGAGCTATACCAACAAGGTGCAGGCGGTTATTTAAAGAAACGGTTGGAGGGGCTCTCTGATAATGGTAGTGTTTGGAGTGTTTGCCTGGTCACCATGCTGTCACCAATTGGTCGAGCCTGTTGATCGGACTAAGAGTTGTCAGAAGGAAACCGTCGTAACGTCTACAGACCAGACAGCTAATTATAAGCCTTGATGTGCTCTTGATGGGAGTGAAGCGGATCAATAGCTTAACAAAATGGGTTGGCTCGAAAGGATAAAGTGGAGTGCTCGCTCAGTGCGAAAAGTCTGTGTGCGAGTCTTTCAGTAATAAAAATTTATTGAAAGACTTTGGAATTAATCTTACATGTAAAATTACCGTATAGTGCAACCTCATATAGGAAACCTCAAAGGCAAATCGAATAAAGTGAATGAAAGAAACGACTGACTGGAAGGAAAAGCGATGAGGCAACGATAAACGAGGATACGATCAGAGAAAGGTTCAAGAAAGAAGAAAGGCACTCAGAGAATTTGAGCATCAATGGAATGTCGCGATCAATGAACGTGAGGGATCGGAATCGATCAATAGCAAATTATCAACATATTGCACATCTAAGTGAATCATTGAAGAAAGTGGGCGAAAAACAATTAGTGGACACGTCTGGATGATAAACAAATGATGTTCTTAACAAACACTACGTCACTGAACAAATACATAATTTAATATACATCTGTATATCTCACACTAAATTGAATATTAAAACTCGAAGATCAATATCTATATTACTCTGTTTGTCCTGGACGGTACATGTGTTGCTGTGCGATCCGACGGCGTTGCTCTATCTCTTTTGCTTCGTCGTCTCGAGTGACATACATCGTCTTCGTGTCATACTCATCGTCATCCTCGTAGTAGTACCCGATCGGACGCGGTGGCTCTGGAATATGAGAAA